TCAGAATTTTTGTTTATTAAGAATTTGGGTTGCCAGTGATGAGGTTTTAGGAATTGCTATGGTTTTATTAATCTAAAGGAAGCAGATAAGTTAGCATCTGACTTAAAAGCGTTTGTTGTATATCCTGTATCTTTTAAAAATATCCTATGAAAGGAATCAATTATGGGCTCAATAATTAGTATAATGAGCACATTGGTTATGAACCTTTGGTCATCTAACCAATTTAATGAAAAGGAGAATTTATTGGAAGACTCATAAGTTATAAGCCATTGCGGCAAAGTAGGAGGTTCTAGGTAATACTTGGAAAGTAAGAATGAAAGTAGCTAGGACTCTCCCATCCTCTCTCTGCACAGTATGCTTATTTTCTGAGCCTGGCTCACATGCCTACGAACATAGCTTCCAGCAAATTTCAGGCTCTCCTCACATGGTATCATTACCAAAAAGTAATCAAGATGTGTTTTCTTCAGTTTTAAGGTTGTACATCTGGAGAAGATTAATGATTGGCCCTCTTTGTGTCCCCACCTCCAGCCATCCCTCCTTCCCATCTTTAATAGGCAGCTCTTCAAGAATTGCTTATTCCTGAAGGAATATGACAGGAATATGTGAACTATCAGCAATATAACAGCTTCCATTGAAACCAAAATGAGAAAGGGCATTCTTCGGAAGAAGGAAGTAGGGAATTGTGCACAGACAACAATAAACTGAGTACATCAATTCTTTCTCGTCTCCTTTTTTTTTCTGTTAGGCAAGTATTACACACCTACCACGTGCTAGTTACTAGAAATATAGCAGCAAACACATACCAAGATGATAACAATTCCATAGAATCTGAGTTATAATACCACCACTAGAAACAGAGTAGGCAGGGGTCATTTCTATGTAGAGTAGATGAGCATTTTGAATGAATATGAAAGAAGATATACAGTTTAGTTCCTTTCATTTTAAATCTATTTCTAAGTAAATTAGACGCTTGCCACTCTCCCTTCACCCACTGTAATAAGCCAGAGAATAAGTGTCTCCAGCGATGGTAATGGCAAATTTTATTGTATTTCATTTTGGTGTATGTGTGCGCTTGGTGAATATTTGTTAAATGAATGGATTATTGAGGTGGTGGTGCTGTTGTCCATCTATAGTCAGGAGAAAATAATTACTATTAACTGTGAAAAAATAAACATCATTGTCATTCTTCAACATTTAAGTGGACAGAATCAAATAATTTCATATAACAAAGTCATTTTATACAATTATCTAAAGACATATTTTACAACTAATTTCTTCTGGCAGATACATCTGAATGCTGTGTCATTTCAGACTAGTTTGTGGGAATAACATTGAATAATTTTTCTGACTCAGATTGAATGATGAGTAATGTTTGCTTTGGAATAATTTCAGTCTTCCTGTATTTTATTTTCTTCACTATGATTACAGTATAAGACACATAACTGTTTCTGTTGTTGGTTGAGTATTCATATTTGTTTTGTTTTTGAGCTGACCTTCGTTCTCTATTTCATTCATTCATCCATTCGTTTATTCATTCATTCATTCATTTTGAGACAGGGTCTGGCTCTGTCACCCAGGCTGGAGTGCAGTGGCATGATCTTGACTCACTGCAGTCTCCACCTCTCAGACTGAAAAGATCCTTCCACCTTAGCCTCCTAAGTAGCTGGGACTTGAGCACGTGCCACCACGCCTGGCTAATTTTTGTATTTTTTGTAGAGACCAGGGTTTCACCATGTTGACCAGGCTGGTCTCGAACTCCTGAGCTCAAGCAGTCCACCTGCCTTGGCCTCCCAGTGTGCTGGGATTAAAGACATGAGCCACTGCACCTAGCCTTGAGCTGACTTTTGAATCAGCTGTTAACAACTATATAACTTATATAATACATGCATAAGTCATATAATAGGCCCTATGTGAGAGGGTTGTTAAAAGTATTAAATGAGCTCGTATGCATGTTAGAATAATGCTTAATGCAGAATAACTGCATTTTTAAAAAGGGTAAACTTTTTAAGTATAGACTATTGATCTTCATCTCAACCTTCAATAAAATACATTGTTGAAGAGATGACTGTGAGCATATAGAAGCGGATGATCATATCCCTGCAAGGCATTATGGATTCTCTAAGTTAATTCATGTCAAACTAAATTAATTTAGTTTTGATAGGATTATTAGACTTATACATCAGGAAGATGCACATATTAGAGCTAAATTTCAGCCAGTCATTTGATGTAAGTCTATTTATTGTACAACTCGTTTAGAAGTGATGGACATTTATAAACTGGGTGATAGTGTAATTAAATGAATTTGTTTTGGATTGAACATGTATAGATAAAGTGTATAGATTGAGTAATCAGTATCAGTCTGAAAGGAGATCCCAATGGCAGCCATAACAGTTTGTTTTCCATTGCTTTGTTTAGCTCTGTCATGAATAACTTGGAGGAATACATCAAAATCATGCTTGTCAAATAAGTGGCCGAAAAAATAAGGAAAACTGAGCAATTGGAAAACAATGGGGGTTACAAAAGAACTGTGTAAGCTTGAGAAAATAATGTGTAACTAAAAAGATAAAATTCACTTGGGATCACAGTGTCCTTTTATGCAGCAAGTTTTTTGGGGGCATGTAGAAATCCAGTGGAGGAGATTTCTGGGATGAGTTTAACTGTTACTTTCAATAATCAGCTGTTTGGCACTAATAGGATTTCGAGCCTAAACTACTGGATTTAAACAACCACTAGTGTATTAAAACAAATATATGCTCATGTCTGGCAGGTTTGGAAAACACACTACAGAGCTGTGGGTGCAATTTCAGAAGCAAATATTGAAAGATCTGGAACTTTTAGTTGAGTGACAATGTGAGGTGGCTGCTGAAAAAGAGCATGTATCATATTAGGTTAATGTAGTTCTTGCAGATAGAAAAAGATGATTTCCCCATATTGTATTTGGGTCAAGCTACAGTTAAAATATTTATCAGTTTTTTAGCTCATTTATTTAAATGAGTATAATTCTTAAATGTGTTTTAAAAGTGACACTGGAAAACTCAAGAATGTTCAGAGAAGGGTGATTTGGGTGATTGTGTTTGCAAATTATTTTACATGAAGATTGATGAAGAAACTAAGGATCTGTTAGTCTGGAAACAAAGGGAGACTTGGCCTGAATAGTGTTTGAAAACATGTGGTAACGTATCTTGTGTATAACTTATTGAATCCCATAATTGTAAACTTATAAAACACAATTGCCTTTTGACCTGAGGTGATAAAACAGTGTTTGTAATTTAACATTAAATAATTATTGTTATATTCAAAGGCAAAAAGTAGGATAACTTGATAGAAATGAAAGGAAAGCACAATTTTTACTTGAAGTACTGAAAAACCTTTTTAATAATTACTGAGCTCTTAAGAGAATAGGCTGCCTGCAAATTTCTGTAACAGAAAGATTTCCCTGTCTTTTGTTAAAGAGAAGTTTTACTTTGTAAAACAAGTTTTACATATCATTATTTAAACAATTATTCTTTTTTTGCTTTATTTTAGAACACTGTGTAAATTCTGAGTGTCTGCCACTTTGTTTTCTTTCTGTGTGAAAAAGGAATGTGAAGTGTTTTAAATGATTAGAAACTTACTGAGGTCCAAAAGAGTTGCCAAACTCCCGCAGGAAATTAGAATTCACTTCTCTATTACATAGAATTTCATCTGCAAATTCAGGGAATGACCGCTTTGTTTGAAACTCCAAACATCATTTCTTTCAGCTGTGCTCAGGTTTTATGACCCTGGGCAACTAAAATATGTTGCTATAAAACGGAATTTCCTTCTCATGAATATTCTGTGATATCGTATATCATAATTGCTTGAAAGTTTCAGTATATGTTGTTGGAAGTAAGTTGTTACTGTTGGTATTCTATATTTTTGATTTGTAACAAGCATAACAAGATAATTGGTCCTTTAGTATGCTCTTCTTCCTAGTTATCTGAACAGTATCTAAAATCATGCCATGAGGAAACCAGGCACAGCATGGTGCAGGCTTTCCTGTGCGTCATTGGTGGAATACGTTTGGAAGTGGTCAGGCAATGAGGGATGAGAATATGTGGCTAGCCTGATTTGTAGTAGCTAGTGAAGTTTACTTAGGAAATCTTAAAGAGACCACATTTAATTCCTCTGATTTTTTGGTAGTGCTCTTCGTGGTATTGAAAAAAATCTGCGTTTCTAGGCTGTGTTCAAAGGGGGCCAGTCTTTTTTTTTTCAGCCAATAATATTAGCTACTGTTTATTAACACTCATTACTGTAGGCAGTCATTTGGCTCATTGGAATAATAAGTCCTTTACATTCATTATCTCATTTAGTCCTCACAATATTTTTATGAGTAAGGAAGAGAAGAAATTATGACTCAGAGATTTCTGATGTCTTACCTAACATCAGACAGCTAGTGAGTAGGGGTTCCTGGTTCATCTGCCTCCAGAGCTCACAACCTTCATCATTATTCTATGAAGAGTTCCAAATATAGAATGACTAAAAATATTTCCCCAAATTAACTTGGTCTTTGTTTATTGGAGCCTATTTAGTAGTGCTACAATCTGGAGATATAGATGTGAATGAGGACCAAGGCCCGGGAATACATGAGGTTTACGGTGAGCAGGAAGATCATTAAACAAGGTAACACTAATTAATGATAATTTTGACAGGTGCTATACCAAGGGAATGTATAGTTTAAACCATTATCTGAGAATTTAATATCTGATTGTTCATACACACACACACACACACACACACACACACACACATTTCATTTGTTTTGAGACAGGATGTTGCACTGTCATCCAGGCTGGAGTGCAGTGTTGCAATAACTACTCACTGCAGCCTCAATTTCCTAGGCTGAAGCAATCCTTCTGCTTCAGTCTACCAAGTAGCTGGGACAATAGGTATACACCACTATGCCTTGCTTATTTTTATTTATTTACTTTTAAGTTTTTAGAGACAGGGTGTTGCCATGTTGCCCAGGTTGGTCTCAAACTCCTGGGCTCAAATGATCTGCATACCTCAGCCTCCCAAATTGTTGAGATTACAGGCATGAGCCACCATGTCTGGGCTGATTGTTCTTAAGTGTGAAATTCCTGAACTGGGGTTTGTGAGAGCAGTGATACCTTGACTTATGATAATCTAATGCCTGATGATTTGAGGTGGAAGAGTTTCATCCAGAAACTATTCCCCCCTGCCATTCTGTGGAAAAATTGTCTTCTATGAAACTGGTCCCTGGTGCCATAAAGGTGGGGGACTGCTATACAATAGCATATAATTTTACCATAAAGAACATTTAAATAGAATAGAAAATTGTTAGTATCATCTTTAACCCTTCAACCAGCAGCCACATACACTGGGAGTGAAGAACAACCTAATTGAGCTGTGAATACTGGGCATTTGCTGAGGTGCTGTCACTTTTGATGTAATTTATTTTCTCATCTGAAGGCTATCAGTAACCCAAGTTCACGTCTCATCAAAATGACATGGACCTTTGAGGCTTTTCAAGAGTAGTAGAAATAGGGAATGTTAAATATATTAACTCTAGAGTCTTTTGTAACAATGGAAAGCCCCCAGAGAGGACTTAACACATAGGAGTTGTCTAATAAATATTAGCTGCTCAATATTACTTAAACATTGTCATCAGTATCATCATGCATACAAGTCCTGTTCATCTACTCACTAGCTTTATGACCTTGAGCCAATTCAGCTTTGCACATCTCAGAGAATGTTAATAATACTTCTGTATGCATCTCACTGAATTGTTTTGAGGATCAAATAAAGTAATATATATTGTATGAAGCAAATAAAATAAAATACATTGTATAAAAGTCGTTTGTAATTGTAAAGAGGTATATAATGGTTTATTGTTGTTATAACCCCAAAATCGTTTACCTCGGACATGAGGCCCTAAACATCTGAACACTTTAATGAACTGCCAGTATTGATTAAGGGAAGATGGCACATTAATGTTAGAAAAAGGGAAAAAGCCTGGTCACTGATACCCACGTAGAATTTCACAAATGTAAACATCTATCATTGAAATGATACTCAAATTGTAGGGATTATTTTTTGTTTTACCATCAAATAAGTAAGCTCTCTCAGAAAGTTTTATTTAGGGCCAGAAGGGCCAAAATTTTAACCTTTAAAGGAACACTAATCCAATGTGTTTATCTTAGAGATACTTAGAATGAGTTTTCTCTTTGAGAGACACCAAAGAATTCTTGAGTAAGCCTTAATATGCCTGAGCCAGTGTTCCTGGACCAAAAAGGTGCTTAAGGACCAAACCTAACACACAGAAAATTGCATTCTTAACTTGGCGCTAAATGATTTGGCCAATCGTCTCTCTCTTTCCTTTAACTATGTTGCAGGTATTACAGGTCCTTTTTTGTATTTATTTTTTCTCCCCATCCTAGGACTTGTAGAAGTCTATGGGGGGTGGAGGAATTTCTGGAATGAGACTCTTGCCTCAAAACTGTATGAATGTATAAGTCTTTGAGATAGGCCCTGATAGAGTTAGTTAGATAAGAAGGTGACATGTAATGGTATATTTGGCAGCTCTGTACATCTGTTTACCTCCTGTGAAAAATAGATCCACAACCAGGAAGGCAGCTAGTTGTGTGTATGCTTTGTGCACCAGGCATGGAGAGTCCCGTTTGTGGAGAGCAATGTTGAATTTGAAACCTTTCATGGAGTAGAAGTGAAGAAGAAAGAAAGTAGGAATTGAAAAGACTTCAGTATATGAGAGATGCAAGACATCTCAGAGATTGAGTATAGTAAGATCACAAATATAGCTTTAACACAAGAGAACAATTTGTTTCACAAAGAAAGAAAGGACATTTTATGTAAAGACTGAGCACTGTGACAGACTCTGATTTGTGAAGAGACAGTGATATGTGGCCAGTGGTTTGTAATTCCAATCTTCTAGCAGTGCTAGTTCTAATAATTCTAGCTACAGATATTCTTAGCGAAACTCAGCAGTTTTAGGGGCCTATTTTTGAGGAAATTAATTGTAAAGTGCTCAAATTTTCAGCAAAAAATTTTTAAAATGGACTAAGAAAGATTAGTTAGCCAATATAAATAATGTAGGAAAGATAAATAAAGCGTACAGCTATTATAAAGGAGAAGCAATTCACAATATTTGTAGAAAACATGATTGTATACTGTGTGCTATTAAAACTGTTAACTCAATTAACTATTCATATAGATAATAATTACCCTGATTCAGTGACTTTTATATGTATTAGCAATAGAATGTGGGAAATATTAGTTGAAAAAAGTATATTCGAAGTTGCAACTGAAAATATAAAATAATAAAATGTTTATTACAGGTTACAAAGTAAATCTTAATTGGAATGATGTATAAAATTCATCGGAATTTAATTAGATGTAATTAGATGTTTTGTTGAATTCCAATCTCAATTTCATCCAGAAAAAATAAAGTGGATATTTAGAAACTTAAGAAGGAATAATCACAGCAGTGTCCTGTTCAGCGAGCGAAGTGTATTATAATATTACAGCAGTTAAAACAGTGTAGCGTTGACTCAGCAATTGATGGAAAGATCAGTGGGACCTAGTGGGACCCCTGGACAAGCCCCCCAAGGACAGCGTCATGCAGTTTCCTCTGGAGACTCTTAAAAGTCCCAGAAGTGCCGTCAGCCATTAGAGGGAGTAAGTGTGGGGGTCCGAGCTCTCTCATCTCCAGCTCAACGTGAACAGCTCTGCATTTGTGTGGTTTATATATTGGGTTCCCACAATTATATTTAGGTTTCACATTTTGAAACGTTTTCATTGCCCTACTCTTAACATATGGTAGAGGATGCCTCACTAGCCATGTGTGGCATGTGAAACAAATTATGTTGGGGAAATGAGGCTTACTATGGGAGGAGGGGGCAGATGTTAATATTTCACCTTGGCAAAAAATATAAATTCCAGATGAATTAAAAAACAACTGCTTGAGAGAAACACTTGTAGGTATTTGCATGCTCTCTGGATAAAAGGAATTTGTAAACATTAAAGTAGTAGAAGTTAATGGAAAAGCCTGATGAATAGTTGCTTGTGTAACAATAGAAAAAACAAAAAACAAACAAAAAACACAAAAAAACAGATCTCCCACCAAACATCCAAAATGTAAGCAACAACAAGACCAGGCAGTGCCTTATGGTCAGGAAAATGTTGCGGCAATGGACAGTTAGTCTAAGGTTTGGGTCTGGGAGCTGAAGATGCCGTTGTGCTCTGACTGTGGCTTGCCCCACTCAGTGTATTAGAGTATGGCTGTCTGTGAGTCTGATTCATGTTTCTGCCATGTGTCACATTATTTTGATGGCATCAGTGTTTTGTTCTGTGAAAATAATTTCTCCTTATCTTTTGTTCTATTAATGTTTACACAGCTCAATCAATAAAGCTTGTTCATACCCAGGAACCTCTCCTTCTCTGTCTCTGTTCTCTGTCTTGCAGGAATTGAGGGTGGCTTCTGGTGTTTTGTGTGGCTTCATCATTTCCTTCCTGCCTCTCATCCACTTCATGATGTAATTCTTGGCACTTTTACTTCCTTTGTAGAGTAGGATGTGATGTCATAGAGAAGGGGACAGGGCTATCCAAATTCTCTCAATTGCTGGGAGGAGCTGTCCAGGTGTGCTGAGGGGCCTGTACTCAGGAAGAGAAACAGGGAATCCTCCACAGTGAGTAACCCCAATTTCAAGTGCACCCAAATTTCCGTTAAAACATTGTCCAGTACACTGGAGTTTCTTCTTTGGCCCTTTCTAGATTTAATCAGTTTGCCTTTAGACATTCCCAGTTCAGCTCAATTTTCCTCCTTTCTCACCCTCCTCCTATCTTTCTCTTCTTTCCCCATCGTATACCTTTCCCTCCAGTTGCCCTCTTCCTTGCTTGCTTCCTGTGTGTCTGTGTCTATTGAACTCCTGCCCGTATCTTTTATGAGAGACCCGTTGCCTTTCATTTGAGGCAGTGCTCACCCTATATATAGTCCATGTGAACACAGCATCTCCTTTCAGTAATTCATAATTATGTACTGTTCTACTTACAGTTCTTATTTTAAAACTTCTGTCAGCTTTTTGTTTTCATATCGGCTTCTTCCTCTTTCCCCTGTGCTCTATTCTTTCCCCCTTTTCAGCTCTATTGTGCAGTTTCCTTATTGCCTTTTTTCCAATATATTTATACTCCTCTTCGCTAAACAACTTCGCCTATGTTTCTGTTTCCCCTTTCCAGTGTTCAGTTCAGCTCTACAGTGTCCTCCTCTGCGAGGACCACTTTCCTTCTTTCCCTTTCACATACTTGTTGCTATACCCTTGTTGTAGTGTGGCTCATATTTCTGTATTCTTTAAAGAATTTACAACTATGAGTAAGGACGGGGCTGATCAGGATTGGGAAAAAGAGGGGAATTTCCTGGGAACTAGAAAGGAGAGAATAGGAAAGTGTCTGAAAAGTTAGGACGGGCAGGCTGCGTGCAACACACTGAAGGGCCTTGATGAACAGAGCCTTCACTTGTGAATCAGTTGAAATTTGGTTATTGACAGTATAAGAGATCACAGAGCCGTTTTGAACAGATTTGGAAGCCTTTTCAAGTTTACATTTTCAGAATGACCCTGTTAATTCTTAATAATTATGATTCTTCGAATAATAATAGATTGGAACTCTAGTGTTTCTAAGTTACAAGAGGCCATGACTTGAGCATGAAGCTCCTGCATAGCATCTTTAATTAGGTGTCATCTACTCTTGGAGTAGGTCATTGTGAAGATGTGTGTAACTTGTTTCTTGTACCCAGATGTGGTCCCTGTAGTTCATGTTGGTGCACAGTAGGGGCACTACTGTTTATTGTTTCCACCACATGGGGTTAAGTCCCTGGAAAAATAAAGGAACCTGATTTCCAGGGCTGATGGTCTAAGACCTGTGGAAATAATCAGCTATGTCCTGTGTATTCCACACCCTTTGTTTAAAAGAACCCCTTTCACAAAAGATAGGTAGGGCAGAAGAGGAGAGAAAGAGAATGGGACTGAGTTCATATGACTGAGATAGGCTAAATGGGAAGAGGAAAGAGCTTACTTGAAATTAATTGGAAAAGGCAAAGGAAAGGAAACTGAGCTGAACTGGAAAACACACTGTAATGAGTTACTTGGGTTCCTGTATGCTTCTTTCAATATTTTGGGCATGAATCCAGTGAGGCTGTTTGTGACCACACTCTGTTCTCTTCTATTGGTAGTATTCAGGCTCCATGTTTCCAAGGACCTGGAATCTTAGGAAACATTTTAACAGCCTGAAAACATGACTTTCACCATAAAATATTAGAAACTTTTTAAATAAAGGAAATTATATACATTTGTTAACTTGTTTTCTTTAGGATTCACATTTCTCTTTTGGTGTGTATGCCTTTGTGACATGTTTGAAGGATGGCCCCTTTTTGTTGCAGAAATTTCTGATTTAAATGTCCAAAAAAATTACGTTCTCCCTTTGGGCACCTGACCTGTATGATGGACTCTTACTTTGATGTAAAAGCCCCTTCCCCTGTAGTAAAATAAGCAGAGAATGCATGATTCACATACATTTTCATTTTGTATGCTGCCATGCAATAATCTCGGAATCTTATGTTTATATTTTAGGCACTAGAAAAACACCCCAACTCACCAATGACAGCAAAGCAGATATTGGAAGTCATTCAGAAAGAAGGGTTAAAAGAAACAAGGTCAGTATCCATATTTAAAACATTTTCTGTTTTCATTAAATAATAATTGCCACTCGTTGCTAAGCAGTAGGTGTATCTAGATTTTGATATTGTAGTTGATTGTGAATTGGGTAACTACCCACAAATTCTTTTCTAATTGAGAAGTAGTTGGATGGTTTAAGATTTCCTTGGACTTGCCTGTTACCTTAATACATTACATTAGATGGGTTGATACAGGATGTACTTTCTTAACAAAGAACAGCACTGTGTGACTTAGCCCCTCCTTGAAGTTATTCCTGTTTCTTTTTCTTGTAAGAGGAGATCACGTTTCTGAAACCAGGTGGTGAAAGAGAAACACTTTTACAGGTTTAATAGGTAGATCCCAGGATATAAAGATGAGCTCACTTTGATAAAATTCAGTGCCAGTAAATGTGGTTGAAAATCTAGTCCTCTTATATTTAAGAAACTCTACTTGGTGCATCCTGTAATAGCTGTTGAGCCTAATATTTACCCTTTTAAAATGTACAGTTTAGTGGATTATGTTATATTCACAAAGTTCTGCATCATCAACATTATCAAACTTTAGAACATTTTCACCACCCTAAAATGAAACCCTGTACCCATTAGTGGTCACTCCATATCCCAACTACTCTTGCCTCTGGCTGCTGCTAGTCCACTTTCTGTCTCTATGGACTTGCTATTCTAGACATTTAATATAAGTGGAATATAGATGTGTAGCCTTTTGTGAAAGGCTTATTTGACTTAGCGTATAATGTTTTCAGGGTTTCCTCATGTTGTAGCATATAACAGGAATACCTTTTGGTTGCCAGATAATATTTCAGTGATGATTCTTTATTCTTAGGTATTAATTTTATGGTTTTAGGTAGCAAGTTAGGGCCGTATAGATGATATTACTCAAGGAGAAAAAGGTTTACTATAGGATAAAACAACTATGATGTTGTCGTATGTGTATGTAATCAGCCTTGTTACATAGAATAGATTTGTGTACATGAGTTGTCCATCTGTAAGCCATTGAGCATACAGTAGTCACAATTTGATGAAATTAAACCTACCGAACTACCTTTTGAATGTTTTCATTTGATGTGCATATAGGAACTGCTAAGATAAATAAATATCCTTCTGAGGCTGACTTTTTGTGAAAAGTAGGTTTCAGCTATAACTCCTATAACTTTAACGTGTGGGCAACATCAGCCTCTAGCTGTTTAAAATGTATCTTTTGCAAGGTAGGTCCATAGACATCACAATTTACTGGGGTACCGGAAACTTATGCTCAAATTTTCATTTTTTATTTTGGAGACTTTTTTTCTGCCTACTCTGTAGAAATAGCCTAAGATAATATAACCACATTGTGTTTGCACTAATTATTCCCCCACAAAGTGGAGGCAGCAGTGGGCAGGTTAGTTGCTAACAGTACCTAACAACTCTGTTAAAGGAGATCCTATTTTAACCCAGATGTCAGTTTAAGGAGTTAGGAAACGAAATCAGGAAAACAGGAGATTAATTTCTTGTTGCCACCTGTCAGTAACCCTGGAAATATTTATGACAATTAGAAAGCACTGAAAATATTTGTGCCATAGTCAAAAGAAAAGAAGGGCTAAAAATCTAAGGATGTCAACTGTCTTATGTGGGCGTTGTTGCCAGAGGAATCTGCCAATGTGGACATAAAAAGCACCTCCCAAAAGCAGACATTTGAAATTCGTTCATTAAGATATTCTTCTCCACAGGAGTGACTCTGCTGTTATCAGTTGTTATGAAGCTTGAGATATAAAAATCCCTGTACTGTGACTCACAACAACATTTTAATTACACTTGTTATCATTATAGCATTATTTCAAAATTTTCAAAATGCTGGTCCTCCCAGAATGGTATATAAGAGGGCTTTCAGCATGCGTAGTTAACAAATACAAACAAATTTTAAAAACCAACTTCTTCAAAGAGTAATTAAAGAACATTGAAATGAGAAATGTAACTCCCTAGTCCTCTAAATTGAATCTATCTCCCCGCTTCACCCACTGCGTCACTATTTGTCCTTCTGTAAGGAAAAAAATGTCCTTTGTTACAAATACTCATGAACCAGTATAGTATTAGTGAAGTACCTGCACACAGTTACCGGTTTGAATAGGAAAAGGAAAAGCAAAGACAGAGAACACAGTTAAAGTTTTCTTCTGTAAAATCTGCTCTGCATCAAGTGGCCTCAGACTATGCATTTTGTGCTCCCATTTGTTTTTTCATTCTATTTCTTTAAATTTCCCCCTTCTTGTCAATGGTAATCCATTACTTTTGCCTCATGCATCTGTGCTCACTGTTCCCTTGTTTTCTAGTTCTAATTTTCTTGTTAGAGTCACCTCTAAAATAAACATACCTAGCTTTTGAGAGAGTTTAGGACTGTCTTGTATGTATGGATGTTGTTTCAAGGAGCAGATATTGACACTTATTTTGCCTCCTTAATGTACTGTTTTGCTACTTTTCAAGTTCTTAAATGTTTTCCAAATATTTAAGGTAGTCGAGTAAATGAAATGTAACTGTATGTAGTTTTCTTAAGTAAAGTTTAGAAATTCCACCTTCATGAGGTCAAACATAGCTGATTGATTTCTAGGTATTTACTAATGATGTGTTTCAAGAAATGCACATTAGTAATATGCGTGATTAAATACAGGGAAGTGCTTGTAAAGTTACTAATATGGCCATAACCCTCTGGTGGTCTCTTCTATGGATGAGAGGTAACATTTTAATGGTCCTCCCCCAAACAGTCCTCTACTGTACCTAGCATTTCTAGACAATAGAAGATAAGGTCTTCAGCCACCATCATCATTCCAACCTGTACTCAAAGCAAGGCCATTTGTGTCAAGTACTATGGGGGTCCTTCATTCTGTATGTGTCAGGCAGGTCTCCGATAGCACTTACCTCGCTGTACTGTAATTTTGTCTTTGTATGTCTTCCCTGCCTATGTGTGAGCTCCTTAAGGGAAGGGTACCTAACGCTTCTGGCTCTCAGCAGACGCTCAATAAATAGTTGTTTAGTCAATAATCTTCATTCTCAAGATGTTAATTTGCTGGTGCTTAGTAACAACTTTGGCTTGCATTCAGAGTTAGAAACTTCTTTTTAACATGTTGTGTTTTTAATGCTATGTAATAGTAGTTATTTTTAACATCAAAAGAAACTTAACAGGTTTGTGGAAATCCCATTAAATATATGTATGCTGTTAGTTTCCAGCAGATTATCTGTGAACAACCGAAGTTATCATGCTGTTGCTTGTTTTCAAACACTGTGAAAGCCACTAGTTTAAACTTGTAACTTATAATAGAAAAACTACATTAGTAATTTTGGCAAAACTAATGAGGATATTTGAATGTGTTCAGTATATATGTTACTGTTATTTCAGGTGAAATTTGACATTGTATGCTGTGTTTTCCTTTTTACAAGTGACACTTTAAATCATATAATGTTCATGTAGACATGATAAAAATAGGACTTTTTACATCATGTTCTGTGTCTCCATATTATTGATGAAATGTGTACAGTAGGATTAAATTCTATTTGGAAAAGCCAGAATGAAATAAGTACCTTCCATGTGAGTAAAAAAGAAATATGAAATATGAATATAATAAATTAGCAGAAAGACATGTGGTTTTGTTGGAAAAAAATAGAATGATTTTTTAAGACCTGGTTTTCTTTCTTATGAAAATACTCTTGGTAATTTTTACTTCCCCTCTGTATAATAGGATAGAAGATTTTATTAATGTCATTTTATTCTGGTCCCTCTGTGTTCTTGCTTCACTGATTCTGAGTGTTTTTAGGGCTTCTGCTCCTTTATGTTTATTAATTGTCAACAGTTGATCGATCAAAGTATTGGAAGGCTTTTCAGATGATTGGAATCATATAATCAAATAGCCATGCTGCTTCTATAAATGGGATTAAAATGTGAATCCTCCAGTCTGCTGCTTTTGTGGATGGATATTTGATATCCCTCTTTGGACTTCTTAGATAAACATCCCCACTTCCTTCCTCAGGGAGTTAGGGTGCTGCTGTGGAGTATGTTCTTGTCTGCAGTCAGTGAAAATATTTGTTTAGAAAAGAGGAGTAAGTCTAGTTACAGTGTTGCTTTGGATGAATTTGGGGGTCATTCCAATTCTGATTTTCTGTTTTTGATTTGCTTGTTCGGAAGTTATCATTCCTTTACCAAGGGGACTGTGGGATTTTTGATGCCTGAGGATGTGTTTTTTGATGCCATGTCTTACATAATTTTTCAAGTGATGCTTCCAAAGAAATGTGTGCTCTGTTATAGTAACATATCCAGGGGTTGCAAGGTCATGGAGTAAGGCTTCCCTGACTTATGTAGTGAGAGCAAAACAACCATTCATCAGTGAGGAATAATTTTTTTATGTGCTGGACATTATCATTATAAGATACCTGTTACTAATGTAGCAGGAACTGTGATTTAGTTTTATATTATTTGGTAATAGGCAAATAGTTTATAATGAGCCTGAAGTGGTCATAAAATTAAAATATATATATACACACAAACCACACAAAGCAATTAAGAAAACCTCTGTTGGGTTGAGGGCAAGACAGTATTTATGAGGTACATTTTAACAATATTAGAGATGCCATACTTTAGATTTAAAAACTATGTTAAATTTCATCAACTGTTTACAGAGAAGCAACCTATAATTATATATTTCAGTAGGGACATTTTAAAAAGTTTTATAAATGGTATCCGTTGTGTTTAGTGTTCCTCAGAATAATGGACATATTTTAGATTTTGTGATGTAGAACATGCATTGACATCCCAGATTTTGTCATTATTCTAGTATCAATGAAAATTTTTTATTCCACTGATAATTCCGGAATTTATTTTTACCTCGTTTTAAGACTTTTTGTGTTTTCTGTTTTGTAATCTCTGTTATGATATGCTGAAATTAGAATCTCCACTTTGTACTGTGGTTTATTAAAGATGTTGCATTTCTTTAGGGGGATAACATGTCAGAAATTCTATTACC